CCATGTCCCACTGCATTGAGCTACAAAGGGAAAGGATGAGGGGGCAGCAAAGGGCAAGGGTTGATGAGTCTGAGCAAACATTTCAGATGGAAAACAAAAAGGGGGTCCAGGCAAAAGAGGAAGCAAGCAGCCATGGGAAAAGGACAAACATGGATATTCAGGGTGAGTAAAGGTGGCAGGCAGGTAGAGAATGGGAGGGAAGACAGTTAAGCAGAGAGAAAATGAAGCATTGGGGAAAGGGAAACTAACCAACTGCCATCAAGTAACTTACTATTACTCCCTTTGCATTACTTGTAAGCTTTTGGGACACAGAGCCTCATAGACGCCATGGTGGCCTAGTGGCAAGGAGTTGTACTGCCAACCCAAAGGCATATGGTTCGAATCTACCAGCTTCTCTGAGGAGGAAAGATGGACAATCTCTTCCCCTGCAACCTAGATCAGCTATGTGCCAGTTCCAACTCCATGCTATGTAACAGCAGCAATGAGTCTCATTCATTGAGACTTCTTAAGGTGCTATAAATACCAATGTCTGCTTAGTAGATTCCAGTCCATGGCAGCCCCACGTGTGTTAGATCACAACTGGGTTTTTAATGATCAGTAAGGTAACAGACTCCCAGGAAGTTCTTCCCAGTCATCTGGGGTTGGACTTGAACCACCAACTTTTTTGGTTAGTGACTAAGGACATAAACTGCCTGTACTAACCAGAGATCTCAAGGGGGGGGGGGGGAAGGAGGAGGAAGTAGTAATGAAAAGAAATGCCAGGGCCGGGCACAAGGGCAAAGGTATGATCTGGAGTGAAGGACAGAGAGATGAGGGAGAAGCAGAAAGGCAGAGAGCCTGGTGACATTCAAGACATCCTCTAATCAAACTGGGGCAACTGCTTGTTATGCATCTGTGCCCTTGACCCAGGGCAGGAAAGCAGCTCAAGAAGACTATGGTGAGGGTAATGACTCCGGGGGGGGGGGCAGTAGTTACCACCACTGCTTATATTTAGTGAAAACACCCAGTGGATTAGGCACCCGAATGGTAATGGTAGAAGAGCTGTCTATATGCAAAGTCACATCATTAGCATGTGCACTCAGGCCCAGGGACCCCGCTCGGCTGCCCCTCTGAGCCTCCCACGGGGCAGGAGGGTGGGCCCCTCTCACTCCACCACTCCACTGCGGTCAGCCCAGGCCCAGGGCAGTCAGGGTGACAGCGCCAGCTGCTGCTGCTGCTGCTGCATACCAGGAAAGGGGCTGACAGTGGAAGGGGAGGAGAGGAAGTGAGCTGAGAGCAGCAATGGAAATGGTGGCAGGAAAAACAAGCATTTAGGATAAAGCTGGACATCACTATATATCCTCCTTGTGATCCCAATAAAAGACTTAAGGTACACCATTCATAAGATCTAGTTTCCAGCTTGCTTTATTTTTTAAGCATTTTTCTCTATGATCCTCTCCATCTTCTTTCCCAGGTAAATGATGCCAGTTTCAAAATCCATTTCCTTTTGTGCTCCCTACCCTCTCAGACATAGAGAGAGCTCAGTGGGCCTAGTGGACAGAAAGTGATGCTACCAAGCCAAAAGTGAGTGACTTTAATCCACGGCCCTCAGGCCTGATTTTAGTTGTTTTTGGCCAAACATCCTTTTAGGTCGTACAGTCCTGGTCTGTCCACTTGCTGCACAGTGGTAATTCGTGGTTGCTGTGAAGCTGAACTGATGTGACACTGATGTGTCAAATATGATAATGGTTACCCATGGTGGACAGTGTTTGGTGGAGCTTCCCGATTAAAAAAAGCTTGGAAGCATCTCTCTTAGAGCTAGGGATTTTGAACATTTCCTCATCTCACTCCAGTAAGAATAGCAAAATTTAACAGAGCAGCAAACATAGAAGGCTGTATGGCGCTTTCTCAAAAAGTTGCAAATAGAAATACTATTTGATCCAGCAATTCCACTACTGTAAATATACCCTAAAGAAACCATAACTACCATCCAGGCAGATATATGCACACCCATGTTTATTGCAGCTTTGTTCATAATAGCAAAGAGTTGGAAACAACCCAAGTGTCTATCAACAAATGAATGGATGGAGAAGCTGTGGTATATTCACACAATGGAATACTACGCTGCATTGGAAAACAAGGAACTCATGAAATATTATTCAAAATGGGTGACCCTGGAGGACATTATGCTGAGTGAAATATCTCAGTCACAAAAGGACAAATACTACATAGGGCCACTGTTGTAAAATGGGACTGACATCAGGGTTGGAGTGAGACTGAGAAAGATGGGATAAATAATGTATACTGCATTGAAACAGGTGAGGGAGAGAACTGTTTAAAAGCGATATATGATTGGGTATTATGGTCATGACAGGAATCCAGAGTGAAGGCTGCATAGAGGAGTGTACTGAGGAGGGAGGAGACTGTATACCAATGAAAGAATTTTTCTTTTACTTTTCAAAGAGAAGAGTGAACTGGGAAAGAGGGGTGGGCAGAAAGAAAAATGCAACAGTGAGTGGAAGTCTCTTAAACATTCATTAATAATAATAATAATAATAATAAATACTGAATGACTGTATGAAACACAATGTGAATAGAATGTATGAAAAATGTATATAAACAAAACAGTGTATATAAATTTTGTATGCATATCTATCAATGTAAAAGAAAAATAGTTTTAAAGGAGAATGGTTCTTATTCCTTGCAAAAAAATTTAAATACTGTTAAAAAAAAAAACAAACCAGCAAGCTTGGAAGCAAGAGTGGCATCCACTTCCAAAATAGCTTGCCTCTGGAAAAACCTATGAACCTGGAGAAAGGATGAAAGTTGTACAAGGGTTCAGGTCTTTCATTCATTGGGTCGCTTTGAGTCACCTATGACGTGATGGCACTTAACAACCCTCTCAGAACCTCATTGGTCTAGGGCTCCTCTTTTCTGCTCCCAAGAGCACACTAGCCTTGCCACTAGCACTGCACCCAGTACACCTGGCATGCACCTCCTGCCTCTATGTCTCGGCCCCCTCAATGTCCTTCATTAGCTTTCATACCTTCTACCCTAAGGACCTCACTGGTCTATATGTATCTTCTGTGCAAAGGCAAAGTTCTGTAATCTCTGTATTTCCAATACTTAGCCCAGCCTGGTACATGCTTGAGCTGGCAAAATCCTCCTATGAACTGAAATGAACAAATTCACACCCTTATCTTCTTGTCCTCACAATCCCACAGTTTGTCCAATTCATCATATCCCCTCTCCAGCACATCCCCTCTCTTCACTCCAAATCTCTGCTGGTAGCAGTTTAAAACATGATTTTAATTCCTTTTCAGTACCCTGACTACTGTCCTAATATTGAACTTGATACTGATTTCCTAAAATAAGTTTTAGGTTAAAAATATATTTCATGCTTTTTTGCCTACCACCTACCTCCAAAGTGTAATAAATAGATGGACAGGTATAAAATGGCTGTTTATTTGTTTATGCCATATTTATCTATAATGACCAAAAATTGAAAGCAACTTTCTGCATGTGACCAGGTAAACAAAATGTCCCTTCACCCAGTGTAATATTTTTTCTGTAATAAAGAGACAAGTTATCAAGCCATGAAAATATGGAAGAATTTAAGTGTGTATTTCTAAATGAAAGATACCAGTCTGAAAACAGACTGTACTAAGACCTTCTGTTGAATGCAAAACTATGTAGAGAGTAGAAAGATCACCAAGTGCTTGAGGGGATGGAAGCAGAAGAGGAGAGATAAATGGTGGTGGTGGGGGTGGCCCAGATTTCTAGAGCAGGGAAAATATGCTGTACAATAATTTAACGGTGAATCCATGGCATTATGCATTTAATGCACACAATACAACACAGTTAACCCTAATGTAAACTACAGATTTGAATAATTTATCAGTATTGGCTGATGAACTGTAAGAAATATATCACACTAACACAAGATGTGAAAAATAGGAGCAACTGCAGGCAAGAGGAGAGGGGATATTTGGGGATTATTTGTACTTTTGATTCAATTTTTCTGTAATAGATATGAGATGTTGAAAGAACCACTGATCAGGTTAAATTCTGAGACTGAACAATGAGAAGAAAAACCTCATGCTTTTTTGACCCAGAAATTGAAACTAAAATCCATATTCATATTTAAATAATTATATGGGGAAACACATTATTATTTTAAAATATAATTCTATTGTATTAATATATAAGAATATATTATTATTTATTATTATTATTAATCTACATAATAATGTGTGTCATTGTGTACCACAGAGTCAGAATTGGCCCATAGCTGACCCTTAGATGGGTTTTCAGAGGCACTTTATCACGCAGGAGGAGACTGCTCAACCTTCTACCACAGAACAGCTGGTGGCCTCTAACCACTTGCCTTCGGGACCGCAGTGCAACTGTTTGTCACTAGAGCTCCCGATATAATAATATACATAAAGCCACCAGCCGTTCTGCTCCACAAATGAAGGAAGGGCAATCTCCTCCCGTGTGATTAACTGCCTCTGAAAACCTGCCAGAGGGTCAGCTACACGTCAATTCTGACTCCACGGTACACAACAACAACAACAACCAACATAACTGCAAACAGAGTTGTTATTTCCTTGCAAAAGGTCTGGGAAGTTTTGTGGCTGAGAAGAAGGTCCTGTGATGGTGGAGAGTGGAGGAGGAGTTCAGAGCAGCCACATCTGGGATGGCCTTATCTATAAGCAGATCACCACACTTTTATTTTTACCCCTGCTCCACTTTTTAGTAAGACATTAAGACAAAGTTACAAAACTTTGGACAGTTTGAAAACCTTGGAACTATTGGATTGATTCCTCGGGCCCTCTTCTTTATAGGTCTAGGATCAGAATTTCCTAAATCCCTGGCAGCTCAAATATGACTGTTTATTGAAAATATGGTTCCTCCAACCAGTGGGGGGCTGGTTACCATGTTGGTCTTTCTCTCCTTTGCTTTGGGGGCATCCTTGTGCTTCCATGAATGGGGAACCTAAAATGAGAGGGCACACCCACCTCCACCATGTGAAGTCGTCCCAGGAAGCAGTCCAGTCGCACAAAGACCAAAGAGGATGGGAAATCCCACTCCTTCACTTCCTGGTCCTGCTTAAAGTAAGTGTGCAGATTCTCCCTGCGGTTCTTAAAAATCTGCTTGAAGAAGCTCAAAGTGTCCACGACTACTTGCAGCTTCCTCTGACTTTCTTCCACCTCACTTCTCAGGAGGTCTTCTGGGCTGAGGTATGTAGAGGCCTGGAATGCAGACAGAGCAGCCTCAATGGGTCTGGCTTGTGGGTATGAGACATCAGAGAACTTTCCTAACACCAGTTCAGAACTAAATATTAGCCAGAGGCACACCACAGGGAATATCTGATCCCAAATTCAATTCCAGAGGCAAACTGGAGCCTGATTTGAGCCAACTCAATGCAAATAATTTTTGCATCCCTCCAGCCACAGGGACTGATCAAGGAACTACAAGTGACCAAATAGAGACAAAGAAACAATGAATGAGAATTTTGCTGGACCAGGTGGGGTTGAGCAGATGCTCTATCCCAACATTCATATGTGATTTGTTGATTGTTGGTGCTGTTGTTGTGTACTGTCAAGTCAGAACTAACACATAGATGACTCTGGTGGATTTTCTTTTTTTTTTTTTATTTCTAAACTGTTTTCTTTAGCTTGATGATGGTTTAGTTTTTGGGTGTTGTTTTTTTTTTTAATAATTTTAATGAACATTTACAGAGATTTTGGATTTCCATTCATTCATTGTTGCACTTCTCTCCCTGCCCAGACCTCCTCCCCACCTCCGCAGTTCGCTCCTCTCTTTTAAAAGAAACCCCCCCCCCCCGGTACACAATCCCCCCACACCCCTCCCACTGTCCCAAGTATATTCCATTTTGCAACCTTAATTGTGGACTCTTGTGATAACCATAATACCCTATCATAAATCGCTTTTAAATTATTCTCTCCCTCATCTGTTTCAGTGCAGTATACACAATTTATCCAGTTTATACTGCTCTGGTGGATTTTCAAAGGCACTTAATCACACGGGAGGAGACTGCTCATCCTTCTCCCGTGGAGCAGCTGGTAGCCTGGAACCTTGTGCCTTCAGGATAGCAGCACAGCTTCTTGCCACTAGGCCACTAGAGCGCCCTGATTTGTTGATTAGGGATAGAAAAATAACTGAAAGTGGAAGTGTTCTTTAAGCCATACTTATATCCCTGTCTCTAAGGCAAAGATGGTGAAGCTAGGCAAGGCTATTGCTTGGAAAAGGACAACATGTTAGAAAAGATGGAGGGTTAGAGAAGGAGAGGAAAACTCCCAATGAGATAGGTTGAAACAGTGACTTCAGCAATGGGGCCTATTGTGTCAAGATGACAAGAACAGCACAGAATAGAGCAGGATACAGGGTGGCTGTTCACAGGGTCTCTATGAATCATACTTGGCTCAATGGTACCTAACAATAACTACAACAAAGGGACTTGAACTCAGAGTGCTGTGAAGCTGGAGCTACCGGCCAGCATCCTAACCCCCAGAGAGAAGGGTAGAGAAAGCTGAGTACCTTGGATAGTATATGACTCCTAGAGTACACCAGGCCTGGTGGTGCAAGCGTTATTGTTGCGCTGTGCTGTCAAGTTGGACTGACTCAGAGCTGACCCTCCAGCAGGTTTTTCAGAGGCAGTTTATCATACAGGAGATCGCCCATCCTTCTCCTGTAAAGCAGCTGGTGGATTTGAACAAATGTGCCTCTGGGATTGCAGCACAGCTTCTTAACACTAGGCTGCCGGAGCTCCCTCAACCCTGGACTTCTACTAAAAAGCAAACAAGCCAGCTGCCCTCCAATCAATGCTGCCACCATGCATCAAAGTTCCACAGAGTGGAACATTTTCTGGATGGCGTTTTGGAAGTCAGTGGCCAGGCTTTTTCCCCCAAAGTGTTTCTGGGTGGATTCAAACCTCCACTCTTTCATTTAGCATACAGTTCCTTCACCACTTGTACCAGCCAGGGACTTCCCCCACCCTGTTGTGTGTGTGTGTGTGTACCGTCAAATCGAATCTGACTGGTACAGAAGGAGATTGTCCCTCCTTCTCCAGCAGAGCATCTGATGGATTCGAACCACATATGTCTGAGATTGCAGTGCAGTTTCTTGCCTCTAGGCCACCAGAGCTCGCCATCCAGGGACTTTTCTTAAGGTGCCCACCCACTGCTGGCGAGTCAGGTTTCAGAGGCTTTTGTGGAATGAGGCTGTCCATCTTTTTTTCGGCACTCAGCTTACAATAGCAAAGCAACTCCAAAGTGAGAACTACTTGAACCCTATCATTTCCCTGAGAAATACACCCTTCCCTCTTGCCCACAGCTTGGGGTGGACCTGCTGCCGGGGGGAGCGCGATGGGAACCCGGGGAGGCCGACCTGCTGGATGAGAAGGTTGCAGATCTCCTGGAGAAGCACTGTAAGCCTCCCAGGGGAGCGGTAGTGCTGGCATGTGGCCCAGATCAGACAGACCATGTGGAGCAAAGGCCGCAACTGAGGCTTCACCTCCTGGAACTCGACACTCTCGATGGTTTCCAGGTGGCGGCGGAGTGGCATGAGGTGAGCGTGGATGTCCTGTGCCTCGGTCAGGGCTGGAAGGAATAGGAGCCGGTCACTCTTCCCTGCTGAGGCTCACACCCACCCTACAGCACCAGGGCCTGCAAAGAGGGATGACAGCGACTCCTCTAGACCTGAGAAAGCACAGAGATGGCTGGCTCTGGAAAACATCCTAGATCAGACATGAGAATAGTGAGACCTGCAGACCCCCCGACCACCAAGGAGTTGTCCCTAAAATGTCTTATCCAGCAACTCGGGAAGCGAGAGAGGAGAGCGGACCAACACAACCTACCGCAAGAAAGGAGATAACAAACATTAAGGATAAATATATGAAATTGAAAACATAAATAATGAGAAAGAAAAATCAATCAAAGCCAGAAGTTGGTTCTTTGGAAAAAATCAATATAATTGACAAACTTTTGGCCAAATTGACAAAGATACAAAGAGAAAAGATGCAAATAACTAAAATAAGAAATGACACCAAGGACATCAGAACTGACTTCATAGAGATAAAGAGAACTATGATCAAATATTAAGAATAACGATAGGGGGGAAGTTGGATAACCTATATAAAATACTTATGCACACACTTACCGCATACCCACATGTATTTATTGTTGTTATATGCCGTCAAATAGGAAGTGGCTCACCTTACTCACCAGTGAACTTTCAGAAGCTGTAAATTGTGTAAGAGAGTGTCTATATTTTCCCCAAGGAGCAGCTGGTGGATTCGAACTACTTGACTTTGGGGGTTGGCAGTAAAGCTCTTTACCCATTAGATCACCAGAGTACCACGTAAGTTTGTGTGAGAGTATATAGATGTGTGTGTGTGTGTGTGTTGTTGTTGTTGTTATATGATGTATTGTCAAGTTAGAACTGACTTATAACTAACCCTCCAGTGGGTTTCCAGAGGCTGTAAATCACACGGGAGGAGATTGCCCATCTTTCTCCCAAGGAGCAACTAGTGGATGAGTGCCTTCTGGGTTGACAGAAAAATAGCTGGTGGATTTGAACCAAATGACTTTCAGCAGGCAGCTCAACTGTTTATCACTAGGCCTATGTATACACATACATGTCTACATGTATGGGGTATACACACACATATACCCATATATGTACATTTAGACATACCTTTTTATCATGATGTGGGTGAAAACTTACAGAGAAAAATTAGTTTTCTGTACAGTTGGTATGCATTTTGCTTCCCAACAATGACTATATCCCTCTCAATGTAAGACATTCTTAGAAGCACATACCCTGGCCATATTGTTGCAAGAGGAACAGAAAGCCTCATAACACTCGTAGATTCTTAAGAACAGAATGGATCAAATCCATGATTTAAAAAAAGCCAAAAACTTGCACCTAAGTAAGCCCTGGATTTGATGGCTTTACTGGGAAACTCTAGCAATTATTTAGAGAAGAATTTACATTGATCCTGTTTAAACTCTTCCAAAGATACAGAAGGAAGAAATATTTTCTAATTCATTTCATACATATAACCATGATATCAAAATAAGGCAAATAAAAAGATAATAAAATCATATGCCAATACCTATGTGAACATAGATGCAAAAGTTCTCAACAAAATATTAGTTAACATAAACACAAGAGTATATTAAGTGAGGGATGCACTGTGACCAGGTGGGATTATCTCAAGAATGCAGAGGTGGCTCAATTTAAGAAAATCAATAGAAAAGAGGAAAAGTACCACCTCATCATGTTTATCAATTCAGAAAAAGCATAATCAGATCCAACCCTCTTCTTGATAAAAACTGTGAAGAAGATTGCTATAGAAAGGAAGCCCCTAATATGTTTCAAGGCAAATATGAACAGCCAACATAACACCTAAAACTGACAGTTATGTCCTTAAAAGAGGGACCAAGACTCAGGTGCCCACAGTCACCACTTCTATTCAGTATTTTATTCAAAGTCCTAGCAAGAGCAGTAGAGAACTCTGGTGGTATAATCCACTGGGAGTTTGTTGCTAATCTAAGGCTGTGTCCACCTGGGGCTTCAAATCCACCAGCAGCTCCTCTGGAGAATGATGGCCAATCCCTTTCCTTGTCATTTACAGACTCAGAAAACCACTGCAGGGTCAGCTATGAGTTGGATTCTGTCTGGACTGCAATAATTTGAGAGGCAGAGTAAAAAAAAAAAAAAGAAAATAGGAAAAGATTCTCAGTTTTGAAAAGAAGAAAAACTACTTCTAATCATAAATAATACGGTCATATAATATCATATCTTGGAAGGAGGAGTGGCATCCACTTCCATAATAGCTTGCCTCCAGAAACTCTATGAACCTGGAAAGAGGATGAGAGACACCCAAAGCATTGAGGACTCTCCTTCATAGGGTTGCTATGAGTCATCTGCGACTCGACGGCAGTTAACAACAACATAATATCATATACTACATGTTGTTGTTGTTGATTGCCTTTGAGTCAAGCACAACTCATAGCAACCCTATGAACAAAGGGCTTGAAGCCCCTCTACAACTATCGACATCTATCAAAGTTCAATAGGGCTTCCGGGGGCATGTTATTTAGGAAGTGGATGCTACTCCTGCTTCCAAACCTATCATAGTATGTTATTGTTTTTTTTATGTCATTGAGTTGCTTGAGATGTATAGCAACCCTATGTACAGCAGCTCTGAACCCTTCCCTGTCCTGAGCCAGTCTCACTAACTGACACACCAACCCCCATTCCCCCAGTTACTGCATCAATCCATCTCATCCTGGGTCTCTCTCTCCTGTACTGTACATCCACCCTTCTGAGCATGATGTACTTCTCTAAGTATTGATCTCTCTTGGTCACATGCCCAAAGTAAGTGAGGCAGAGCTTCAAAATCCTAGCCTCCAAGGAAAGACTTAGCTTCATCCTCTCCAAGACAGACTTATTTGTTTTCTTGGCAGTCTATGGTATGTTCAAGACTCTTCTCAGCACCACAACTCAAAAACATCTATTCTTCTTCTGTCATCCTTGGTCATTGTCCAACTCTCAACTCTCTGAAGCATAACAAGTAATTGAGAAGACTATATACTATATAGATATAG